CCCGTCGAGGTCATTGGTGATTACACCACGTTCCTCGGTTGACGAGAAGTCAGGGAACAAACATTGGGTCCACAAGGCGCGAGCAGGGCTCGTATCACGCCGCTGGCGCAGCCCGCCTTCCTTGTCATCCCATGCGGGAAAAGGAGTGTCAGACTCGTAGTAGACCACCTCCACATCCTCAATGAGGTCACTCGTCATTGATAGCGCGCACAAAGCGCGACACTCGTGCTCATCGAGTCTAGGATGTACATCCGCCGTTGCCGCGGACGCACTGTCCGACATTGCATCGCGTGTGGGAGACGAAGTTGGGCTCTGCCCGTGTTCGCTGTCAGAACCAGCTAGACTTGACGATTTTTGTGTCGTTGACACAGGGCTCATTGAGCACGGAAGTCGTTTTATTCCAATACATAAAGTTGCAGTGTCTGGCGGACATGCGAGCCTCGTTTAGGCAATAATCGATTGGAACTGTAAATGTTCTCAATCTTCATGGGTGAGAGTGTAACGGGGTTATACGTACTCTGGTAAGAGGGGGGGTGTCACACCAGATGGGTATGGTGTGACTACACCCGAACAAGAATGCGGTATATGGTTGAGTCTCAAAGCCTGACTGGTCATGCAATTTTGTTGCGCTCAAACTGCTATTTATCTTTTCACTTATTCTCTGTACATACTTCAATTGTGATAACTATAATTTAATGACCACCACTCCAACGTTAGCTAGAAAAATGATTGCCATACAATCTAAAAAACTCTCCTTACTATGAGCCGACAAAGTGCACTGAACCTTACCGTCAGCGTCACCACAGCTATGGCGTTATTCGTGGTTCGACTCCGTCGTGCCGCTTACTCAAAACTGGCACGATCGGTGTGCCCGCCTTATCTCGAAAAGCGATCCAAAATGGTCCCGTTTGGCGCAGTTGCAGGCCAGAACCGTGGATCAACTCCTATGAAGCCTATTGTGTACCTTGAAGACCCATATTTTTACGTTCGCGATGATACGCGTAAGAACGAAGAAATTTTGGAGCATCTACGAAGGGAAAACGATTACACATATATCAAGACGAGACACCTTGAGAACGTGCGTGTCAATCTGTACAATGAGCTGCTTTCGCACGTTCAAGAGACGGATGAAGACTATCCGTACCCACACGGTCCCTTTTTGTACTACAATCGAACAGTCAAGGGATGCAGTTATGTGTACCATTGCCGGAAGGCCAAGACTGACAACGCACCGGAGGAGCTCCTTTTGGATGAAAACGAGATCGCCGAGGGTCACGATTATTGCCAAGTTGCCAGTGTATCCCCGAGTCCTGATCATCGCTACCTTGCTTACATGGTGGATTTCAACGGTTACGAAAAATACACGGGCTACGTTAAGGATCTTAAAACTGGAAAATTGCTGGTGGATCGGATCGAAAACATTTCGAGTTTGTGCTGGGGAAAGGACGCTTCTGCACTTTATTACGCTACGCAGGACGAAGCTCATAGACAGAACAAGCTGTGGTGCCACAACATAGGAAGCAGAGACACGAAGGAGCCAATGTACATCGAACACGATGAGACTTTTAGTGCCTACTTTCAGAGAGCTCGTAGCGGGAAGTACATGTTTCTAGTTTCTTCTAGCAGCGAAACCAGTGAAGTGTCTTGCATTGATATGGACCAATTGGTAAAGGTGCCACAGCTAATCGCTAAGCGTCAAAAGGGATTAATTTACTCTGTGGATCACTTTGGTGACAGCTTCTATATCGTCACAAACAAAGATAAAGCCACTAACTTCAAGCTTATGAGAACACTCGTGACATTGCCTTCACCTGATCACTGGGTTGATGTGTTTCCGTACGATAAAAGTATCAAGGTCGATAATGTAGACTGCTTCAAGGATTTTATGGTCATGGAGGGTCGAAAGGGTGGCTACTCGCAGCTTTGGATCATTGTCCCCAATGAAGGCCATAAGCACGATCGTCGCCAGATCACGTTCAAGGAATCCAGCTACACAGTCCATGGCTCCGTCAACCGTGATTTTGATACAGACAAGTTTCGCTTCATGTATTCGTCGATGACTACACCATGGACAACTTTTGACTACGACGTCAAGTCTTGCGAATCTAAGCTGCTAAAAGAAAAGCCAGTATTGAATTATGACCGCACTTTGTATAGGACGGATCGTCTAGAAGCGAAAGCTAGCGACGGAACAATGGTGCCAATCTCCCTTGTCTATCGATCTGATCTTCGCTCGCAAGATCGACAGCCGTTACACCTGTATGGTTACGGTTCATACGAAGTCGCTATTGACCCAAGCTTCATCACATCTATCCTGCCGCTGCTAGACCGAGGTGTGATTTATGCAATTGCGCATGTCCGAGGCGGTGGAGAAATGGGCCGGACTTGGTACGAAGATGCGAAGTACAAGAAGAAAATCAATACTTTCACGGATTTTATTTGCTGTGCTGAGCATTTAATTGAAGCTGGGTATACAAGCCCCAGCAAGATGACTTGTGAAGGACGCAGCGCTGGCGGTTTGCTCATAGGTGCCGTATTAAACATGCGTCCAGATCTTTTTACTGCTGCGATCGCCGGCGTGCCATTCGTTGATGTAATGAATACTATGAGTGACGCCACAATCCCATTAACAACTGGAGAATGGGAAGAGTGGGGAAACCCGAACGAGAGAACGTACTTTGAGTACATGCTCAGCTACTCGCCTTATGAGAATGTGAAGCAGCAAGCGTACCCAAACATTCTGGTCACGAGTGGGCTTTACGATCCACGTGTGGCATACTGGGAGCCTACTAAGTGGGTCGCAAAGTTACGTGACGTTAAGAGCGACAAGAACGAGGTGCTTTTGAAGATGGACTTGTCATCGGGCCACTTCAGTGCCAGTGACAGGTATCATTACTTGAAAGAGAAGGCTTTCGACTTAGCTTACTTGCTGGATCACCTCATGGCGATCAAGACAGATGACAAGAAAGCACGCTCATTTGCATAGCTTTTATAACCGAAAACCACTGCCCGAATTTGATCCCACTTACAGATACAATCTACTTCTTCCGCTTTCGACTGTCTTCCGCATCAATCTTTGATCCAATTGCAATCATCGCTTTAGCATTGAACTCCACTTCTTTTTGAAACGCCTTTCTCTCCTTTCGCTGCGCGTATAGGATTGTCTTGGAGCATCCATATGCAGCTTGCGATAAATTAAATCTTGAAAGATATAACTGCTGCATTGCCAGATCATCCGTGAGTGGTGAGGAAATCTCGCTTTTCAGGACTGTGAGTACTTGCCCAGTCGATACACAAATCCGAATGGAGTCCGACAAGAAGTACTGGAGAATTATTCCGCGTTGATGTCCCATGGGCTTTGCATCTAGCCGGTATGTCTTCACGATATTACCTACTGCATACTTCAGCGAGTCTATCAGATCCCGAAAGCAAAAGAACGTTTGTCTATGTGTGGTTGCCACCAGTGGCGACCACATTTGCCGTGGTCTTACCACACACTCGTCGCATGTCTTCCATGGTACAACAGGGTCAGACAGGCGGCTGCCCTCTAAAACTGGCTCAATGAAATCTGGTATGGCTGCCTGGTAGCTCATACCGACGTTTGGCTTACGACGGCCAAGTCCGCTGCGAATAGCTTCATTTTCAACACTTTCTAACGCCTTTTTGATGTTGCTCCGGTTTGGAAAATACTTGTAGCGGCATACGAAATACGACTTATTTTTTTCGCGATAACCGCGCCTAATCTCGTCTTGAATTTCCTTGTATTCTTCTGGAGACACGACTTGACACACTTCAATGACAGCATCGATCGAATTTCTGTCTTTGTGCGGCGATAAAAACACCTCGTTTTCTAGAACGCCACCCTGAATAAAGGCTTGAACTTCTTCCTTGACATCATACGGCTTGTAGTACCACTGCGCCACAAAGGAAGATACAGCTCTATCGTGTCGTTGCGATGTCTGGACTGAACTAACTAGCGCGACGTAGGGATCATCGGGGTCGCCTGAATCCAGTAATACACAGTCACCAACTTGGACGTAAACGTAGTCCGCACTTGTTTCACTTTCATCCGACTCAATATCCTTTTTAATCTCTTTCAATTTTCCCTTGACATTTCTAATCTTACCCTTGTTAGACGTAGCGTCCAGTAAAGGACTTGACTTTGTCTTGCTCGCACCACGTGTTCTGGGGCCATCACTCTCTGAGTCAGACGCTGCTGATTGTCTGCTGCTGGCACGCGTTATCCGTGCGGGTGATGTTTTATCCTTAATACCTGTGGCACCTTCACTTTTCACTCTCGTAAGCTTCTCTCTTGCAAAAGTAGGCTGAAGCATTTCCATGGGTCGGTCGTCTGCGTGTTCCTTACTTCCTGTCGCCATACCTTACACCTTAGGGATTATGCGAAAGGATACTGGCAGTAGCTAAATTAAGCAATAATCAAACTTGCCGGTCCAAGCGCTGTGCACGGGTAATTGCACAGTTTCAGCTACCCACGATCCCTCCGCACTTTCGTCTACTTTATACTATGGTGTTCTGCTTTTTTAAAAGCCAGTACTGTTTTCAACCCAATTACTAAAAATAATCACTTTAAGAGGTAAAAAGGAAAAAAGGATGACCAATCATGCGCGAAAGTCGATTAGCTCTGGACAAAATGAGTGAACACTCTATGTTCTTTACACACAGAAAAAATCTGATCGAGAACATTCCACGTGTACGATTGGTGACCTATAAAGTGGACGACGATAGCATATTTGACTAGTTGTTATAATAAACAAGACCTACATACCACCATCTATGGGCTCAAGTACTTTGGTAGCAATATTAAATGCACCGCGCTATGTGTACATTAGATCAGGTAAAGCGACATCGGATGTGGACGTCAGACGTTTGTAGTCACTAGCTGAAGGAATGACCAATATTACCATCGACCATGATATAAGATTTTTTGAAAAAGCAACAAGTGTTTAAGTTGCAAAAACGAATGTTACATTCATTGGATAATACGATCAGTCCGATTTGTAAAATACGAGTCGCCCTTCATTGAAGGCTGCACACTTTCAAAGCGTCTTTAGGTAAACTGCTTCGAGGACTCGATACATTTGGCGGCACTTGCAGTCAGTCCTAAGTTTACGAAGGTACTTAGGTTTTCATTACGTTTCATTTTAACGATGTCGAGTTTCTTCAAAGTGATGCCACACGGAACCTAAAGCTGGCCAGACTCATCGCTTAAATCGAAATGGCAACCCGTACGAGCAGGAGCTGGTAGACCACGCGCTCAAACATTCGTCACGTTGTCAGCAGCTGAGATATCAAGTCACATATGCTTGTGGCGCTTCCATACGTGCTACAGCGTCCTTGATTACACCAGACGCATCTGTTTGACGCAACGGCAACAGTGAAGGCACTAAAACGTTCGTCGCGTTGTCAGCAGCTGAGATATCAAGTCACATACGTTTGTAACGCTTCCAAAATCTAGGGTTTAGGTGGCAAGAACACTCGGGAGAGTTGCAATTTTAGCTCCGCCCAGC